CCACCATTATCATTGTAAACTGCATTGTGTGTGAGAAAGGAAACAGACAGTAGGGTGGGTAGAGTCACTGGTCAATTGAAACTGTAATTCATTTTTGCATATTTTGTCCATACTCATCAACAGGAGGTCAACACATTATACTTTATGTACTACTACTTGATAGAAGCGGATGACCTGAGAGACTGTCACAGAGAAACAGTCAGTCACACAGACAGGTCGTGGTTATTTTTTAGCTCACCTTGTTCCCTATGGCTTTCTTGGGTGGGAAGTTGAAGGTGTCAACCTGTGGAAACTGGCTTCTCAGGTGGTTGTGGAGCTCCCTGAACTCGGTGTAGCGCCTGTACACGTTCCACTCGTTGTCCAGGATACGGATGTACACCTGAGGACAGGTAAGACACATCATCATCATCATGATCATCATCGTCGTCATCATGACAATCAGCAGCAGCAGCAGCGCGTCCTGTTTTCACTAAAGTTGTCAAATCATTCCTTAAGTGTTATTGCAGTAAACCAGCATACAGGCTTTCCTACCTATTAGGAAGCTAACTAAACCAGGACTCGGTTATCAAATATTCTGAAAGAAAAAAAGAACAAACCCACAACAATAGTAATCTGTTTTGTAATTGGCTTTTAAATTTTTTTTTGCAGTCAACATATTTGTCATTAAGCCCTTATAGTGCCTTTCAATACAGTGAATACATGAGATGGCTGAAAGAATGACTCCCTCTCATCCCTGTAAATGTGTATTTTCACTTACACACTGCAACACATAACAGAGAAAGAGTCTTTCTATAGGCATGACTGTGCTGCCACCATTTCCACGCACCATTAGCTGCTTTATTCAGACTCACGAAATATACAGCGAGTGCAGAGAGAGAAAGAGAGAGAGAGGGGGAAAGATGAGCCTATTATAAGACAGAGAAGGAGAAAAAGAGCGGGAGATGGGTTCCATTTTCACAGTAGAAAACAAGGAAAGAAAAGAGAGAGCAGAACGGCTTTTGAGAATTCAATTTTAAAATGCCCCACAAAAAATACAGACTTGATTCAGGTACATGAAAACAGAAATTGATTTAAAAATCGACCAAATGTACCTTGGCATAGCCCCCCCCCCCCTACCAGACAAATATAAAGTAAACAAAGCATCAACAGCTATAACGTTGAACTGCATGTTACCTTCTAAGCACTCATAGTCCCGAAAGTGTTTGTGATGGATATTACTGCTCTGTCAAAATTAGCAAGAAAGAAAATACAAGAAAGTCAAGTAACATGAATGGATTGAATAGACTGAAGTGCGTCACCCCAACACGCCACAACAGCAGCTGAAAGGAGAATCTTCAAGCCCCAGTATACTGCAACAAAAAAGGGTTTCAGACGATGGTCATTGGTCAGTGATCATTTTCCCCTCACCCCCACACACACCTTTCCAATGTTACAAATTAGGGAAGTGATTGGCCAGGTATGCTGGGTGAAAATGTGTGTCATTATTACCACATTTAAACAATTAACGTGTCTCTATGAAATTAGGAGCCAACCCACCTGCTATATGTGATGAAATATTTCACTGTATAATTGAAAACTGACCAGCTAGTGGCACTGGAGGAGAGTTCAGAGGATCAGTTATGTCCTCTCGGGAACATGATTTCATGCCAATCCATCTAACATTTGTAGAGATATTTCAGTTTGGACCGACACTGCTGTCCCTATACACACTATATACACTTCTTAAAGGACATTTCATGTCATTTATTTGCTTTTTCCGTAGTGTAGAAAACAAACTGTCAGAGCTACAGTACAGGAACTCTTACTACATTTTATGTTCATGTCAACCTCAAAGACATTTTGACTGACATTGGAGCAAGTAAATAATGACAGGGTTTTTTTTGTTGTTTTTTTGTTTTTAGGGGACTGTTCTTTTACTCAGTGATCTTTTGTCAGCATGCACGGTACTGTGCAGTCTACGTTACATAGCAAACATGAAAAATGTGACATTTTGGACAGCCATTAAGAGGAGACTGACAGCTGAAGCTTTGTTAGCTGTCCTAAATGTCTCGTTGTTAATATTCCAGCATCAGTGACAGACACGTCTAGACATCATTAATGTTATTAAAAGATATCAGAAAATGACACTTCACAGTACAGTTGAGAAAATGATCTAAAAGCATGTACCATCATTTATATGGACATTAACTGAGTAAGTGGGAGGTGAGAAAGAATACCATGATGGGTTTTTTTCTAATCCTATCCTTGCTTACCTGTGTCTTTATAAATGGACGCTTACTTTGTCTGCTGTATAGTCACAGAATAATAGAATAATATGCTTAAGGGCAATAAGATTTTTGTACAGTGGCATGAACACATAATTTCCTGAATGAAAACTACTCTCTGATATAAAATTAAAGACCAAAGAAATCGAATCCGCTCCTTGGCTTGAGAACAATCAGTAAAGAACAGACACAACAGTCACACGGTGGGAGAGACATGAGGCAAACGTACTGTGTGAGGCGAAAGCTACAGGTGCACGATGGGAAGTCAGTTAATGTTGTTTGACCCACTCATTTGCCTGACTTACCAACACAATCAGCAGTTGCAGTGTTTGTGACACATAGAGGCAATTATTGTTACTTCTTCTCATAGTCATAACTCAGTCAAATACAAACACACCGACATGACAGTTTTTTTAGATTCATACTTTTAACGGTGCCAATTTGCCAAAATTTGCACAGTTGGCTCAATTGTATTTGGAGTGGGTTGGGGGTATATATCAGTGGAAAACCCCTGATATACAGTAACTTGTATGAAGAGCAGCTGCACCAGAGGAAAGACCCGAATAAATGACAGCAGTGGTTGACAAAATGGGAGCAGACAAGGCTGCTAATGGATTGGAGACTTGTCATCTCAGCACTTTATGTCTGACCTACAGGAGCACATCTAAGTTTTTACCAACTTGTTTTTTGCAAGTTAAGAGAAGGACTGGCTTGGTGTGGTCTGGTTGTGTGTGTGTGCTTGCATGTGTGTGTGTGTGTGTGTGTGACTTTCTTCTAGCTCCTTCTATAGTTGACTAAACTAGGCCATCATGAATGCCTTATTTGGGACGAATCACAGCTTCTTTGACTTTATTTTGGAATTCTGTGTATAAAGATATTTTGAGCACTTACATAAAAAGCTAATTAAAGTTCAGGCATTTTCGGTTTTTGATTAATAACCAAAAATTAAGGTAAAACAATCAACGTAACCAACTGAATTTGGCACATTTTTCATATATCATATAGATCAATATTTCATAATTCACAAGCTGGACTCATCACCAGTGTTCGATTTATGTGCAAAAGCCTTTTATAATCTCACATGCAATTGTAGAAAAACATCAGAAATAATTTTTAATGTATTCCTTTTCTTTTGTCCAATTGTTTTTTTCTCCTTTTTGTCTTTTTTTATTATGAAGTTACCTTGTCACCTCACCATTTTGTTGCATGATTTAATTTGTCTGTATTCAATAATAAAAAAAAAACATTGGAACATCCACACATCCTCATCTGCCTGCTTGCCACAATCACTGCATCATTGTGAAAACAGGCCACGTCAAAGTGAAAGTTAAGGCCACACTGAGCAATAACTGTAGCTTTAAGTCAAGGACTACACATTATGTATTCCATACACTAGTATTCAACTGAGGAGAGCAAGGTCTGCGCTTTTAAATATTCCATACAGAATACTGAAATACGTGTGTTTGTGTCCTGGAGTAAAATGTACCTTGAAACAAAAATGAACTGTCCTCATCATACTGAATATTACATAATGAGCATACTGTATTGCTTCAAAGACCAGACAGTGAGTTTATATGGTAACTTACTGTATGTACTACAGGTTATATTGCCACATTTAGCCTCTTGCATCTTGAATACACATTAAGAGCAGCATTAGCAAAGCTGTGACGATAGCATCAGCCTCGTAGCGTCTGTAGTTTCTCAGACATCAAATGGCTCTACACATATGGCAGTATTAGCACAGCGAGCTTAATCCACTTTACACCGTCTCATTGGCATACTTATTTATGGCAACACATTAACCTCTGCACACAGCTACCAGCTCCCTCCTCCTGACTAATCACAAATAGTCTTTCATTATCTCTGACAAAAATCTTGGCAACATCCAAACTGCAGCTTCCTTACATATTTGAGCACCGGCGCTTTGATATCTCCAGTAGAAGCCGTCTTCAAACGGGGACAGGGCCTCTAATCATGGTTCAGAGGGACTTTGCGGAAAAAGGGTTGATGGGTTTTGGCTATTGTTGAAAGCTTGACTGTGATGGACATGCTATTGTCAGTATTTAAATGGCTTATGAGAATATGTTAGAAAGCAGAATAATACGTGTGATGAAAATATAACCTCAATGAGTCAACATAAGAAAGAAAATCTACCTTTGGTTAGTGAAGTATCAGCAATTTATGATGCTGAGAAATGTTTATTTTTAAGCAGTGAAGTGCTGTAATTCACTTCTTCTGTGTACCGACTTTTCCCACAAAATTGATTCACCTACTTCAGGTGCAAAGTGAATTCAGCTTCAGGCCATATCATAGCAAAGTGAAAGGTCCAGAAAAAGAGTGTGTGCTTAGTCATAACACATCTTCTTATACAGTAAGCGCATTACACTCTCATCTGTTGAGACCAACGTAGGTACAGAAAAGTTGTCTCTGACTCTTGCACAATGGATTTCTCACTCTATGATACATACAGTGACCTGCATTAAGACTGTAAGGCGGCTGTCTGAGTGATAGAAAAAAGCCTGAACTGCAGCCTACAAGGTCCAATGCCTAGGTATGCCAAAATAAAAATAAAAAGCTGTCGGACCTCTCAGTCAATCAATTTTGCATAAACTTTGTTTTTGTTTGCCTACTTCTTTAATTTCTGATGATTTTGCTTTTGAACTCACAATTTATTCAGATAAAGGCAATATCATTTTACAGTCAAAGTGTTTTTTGTCCTGTGGAGAAAGGCAGACTGTTAATTTACATAACCTGTACAGTTTGAACCACTCGTGAATATCAGCTGTACCTAACAGTCTGAGTATGAGACCAGTTCTCTTGAATCACTTGTACATGCCACTTAAGAACAAAACTGTTAATACGAGTGGTTCTTTAATGAGGTCCAAGAAACTGTGAATAACTGTTATTGGTTCTCTGTTGTGTCTTGAAATATTAACACTGTGCTTTTTCTAGATGCTCACTTCAATGACTTGGACTAATTCCTATAGATTGTGGTGACATTTAAGACATCACTGAGCCACTTTAGCTGAGGCTCAGTGTACATGCACATAGAAATTGCAGACTGGAGTAAAGACAGCAGAAATAAAATGACCCACAGACAGCAAATAAAAAAATA